GTTAAGGAGATTCTGTAATTTTATATCTGAACTCTCAGCACAGAGTACGTGAGCATTAAATTCCAATGGCAATCGCAGTATTTGATAGAATAGCCTCGAACACACATCAGGCCACGAGCCCTCTGTTGGACCGTGCTGCACATCTGCATATCGGAGGGGTAGACTCCGCGGGGCAAAATGGCGGTCAGCCCACAACGTGTGCTTGGCAGATCTGGATTTTGCTTTATTATTGCAGATGTTGAACATGTATTGCTTTTTTTTTTTCAGTCAACATTGATTCATTAGTATATATGGAGTAGAAAGGAAGGACCTGTACAGGTCCATTTGTGTTGTAAACGCACGTGAATCTTGAGCTCAGGACCTTGGGAGACATGGCTCCATAACATTTCCCTACAACATATATGTAGACTTCCAAGGTTACAGTTTTAGAACTTCCTAATGTCCCAACCTTGAAATGGTTCAACTTACCAGGCAATAGAGAATTGATGTTCAACTTTAGCTGTTCTTCGTAGCAGAATCGAGATGGCGGATCTCAAAATGTTATCAGAGCCCTACAGGCAATATCGTCGAAATTTCGACTCTCCAGTCTATCAACGCCTCTACCTCTATAACCCAGTTCTCTCTTTCACAATGACTGTTCAAACTCGTGTCGCACCAGGCTGTGCCAAACCTGGCCTTTCAGCCTGCTCAGGATGTGAGGCACCCCAGGCCAAAGCCTGGTACTGCAGCAGAGACTCCAGAAGGCCGACTTCAAAGTCCACAAGCTCCGCTGTGCGCCTACAATTCCATACAACCGCTTCTTGATCCGGGCTTCTCCTGTTTCTGATGGTCAACCTGATACAGCTCACATTGAGCCGTTCCACCTCAAGTCTTATGGAAACTGAGGCCTCGAAATGAAGGAGCTCAAGGACAGGCTTGGCTGGCCGCAAGCTGATGAGGCCGGAAATTCTATCCTCAGGAAAACAATGATACTTAGTACTACTATGTATATCGATCGGCCACTAAGAATCTCCTCGAGAACAAGCTTGCTAGCCATTGTCTGGGAAAACCCGTCATGGGCGATGTAGCTGTCGTCAGATCGTCGCCGGAGGATATCGATGATTATGAAGAGTCCCTTACCAAAATGGACTTGAAGAAGACCATCGATTACTACAAGACTGCAGACTCTCAGAAGGTGTTCCAGCAGCGAGAACAATCTCGACTTTCGCGGAAACTGGGCATGCCGGCGGACTTTTTGGAAAGGCGTTCCCACTTCAACTTCTAGTGTCGAAACGTGTGGGCTTTGATAGTGCCTGGTCGTGTTGTCTCATATATTCCTGTATCATTTGTTTCCTTTGTGTTGCTCGACTATGTTGGTGCTGCTTTACGCCTCTGTCGTTGTTGAGTGGGCAGTTACAATGTTATTCATTTCTGAAAATACAGCACAGTCTTCTATTGAAACAAATCATGTATGCAATTTCTGGAGACCTCTATAGTGGCATTTCTTGTTGACCGAGCGTTCTTACAAATCCCACCCCAGTTCCTATTGCCACAAACAAATATTTATACTCTCAAACTGTCGGGTGCTCCATTGTCTTTGCTCTCTGAAGGACGGTCTCCCTGGGGCTGACGACCATTTAATTCCTTGGGCGACTGTTTTGCCACACGAACAGGGTCTAACCAGCCCGTGGACATAATAAATACCCCGTCTATATCTTCCAGCGAGAGGCCTGCGGTTTCTGGGAAAAACAGATAAACAATCGGTATCATCACGACATTCAAACAGGCAAAGATGAGAAAGTATTTCCACCCAATGGCATTGAAGGCGATTGGTGTGACCTCGGCGATCAAAACACTAAGAGCCCAGTATATGCTAGAGCCAATACCGTTGATGGTGGTACGCAGACTGAGAGGTGCCACTTCGGATGCGTAGAGAAATGTTACCCCACCAAAACCGAAAACCATGCTGAAGTGAAAGATGAACATAAAGACCACCGCTGCATGCATGGCAATGATGTTTGTCGACTGAGAACTAAGCGCAGCAACGAGGACCATGGCGACTGTGTTGGCCGTCGCGCTTGACAACAATAAGAAACGGCGACCAAATCCGTCGATAGTGAAGACGCAGACAATGCCACCAAAGACACCGGAAAGCTGATAAATGACTGCCAGAATCATTGATGTTGTGGAGCTAAGATGAAGGTGGGTCTGGAAAATCGTCGTAGCTGGTGGTCTATGAGCGAGGGCAATTGGATGGGACCAAAAAATTAGGGTACGTACTGTAGAACGTGATAGAGTTGACACCAGTCAATTGTAACAGCACCAATCCTCCTGTTGCAATAGATGCGCGATGACAGATTCTTTGATGTCCCATGTGGAATATTTGACGCAAAGACCCTTTGCCACCGGCAATAGCTAATGAGGATTCCACATCCAGTATATCCTTCTCGACCAACTCACTGTCCATTTCCGTGTCCCTCAGGGCTGCCAATACCTCACGGGCAGCAGAGACTTGGCCCTGCTGGACTAGCCAACGAGGTGACTCGGGCATATGAGAAGTAAATCCAATCACAACTATGCAAAGTATGATAGGCAGTCCAACTGGAATACGCCAGCTTGCGCTGTTGGGGACATATGACATCCCGAGATCGACGAGTAAGGCCAGCGTAAGACCCATGGAGGCGAAGACGCCTGTGGTCCCAACATGCGCACCACGCTTGCTAGCTGGCGATATCTCTGATTGCCAGATAGGCACAGTGGCTAGTTGGCCACCAGTGCCCAGACCTAGGACGACTCTTGACACCACAAACTGAGAAAAGGGGAAAGAACTAGCCATCAGGAAAGCCCCTATCATTTGCATCACTGAAGCGAGAATGATAGTTCGTCGACGTCCAAGCACCTCACCCAGCCCAATGCAGGCGATGGCTCCCAAGAAACCACCTGCTGCATATAAAGCCACCACGGTACCTTGCAAGGTCGATTTGTGGTGCTTCTCTGATGGCAGGGCATTGCTCACGTGGATTTCAGGAAATTCGGCCTCGAACAAAGGCAGGGTTAGAACTCCCCCTAGTAATCCTTGGTTATAGCCTAATGACATGATTGCAGGCATAACCACGCCAAAGAGTGCTACATGGTTGAGGCGACTGCCTCGGAGACCAAGAAAACGTGTCATATAGTGTGCAAGGAAGGTTTAGAATAAAGTTGTGCTCAGACGATTTGACGTTGGCCTAGAGGACTTTGCGAGGTACGCATATTAGACTTAATCAGGGATCCTGCAATTGTGTTGTGTGAACCCGATCCTTGCATATTTGTTGTTTTCTTGCATTCCGATCTCAGCTCAGCCTCTACAAATGCATGTTTTACAGTTTCAGCAAGGTGTTAATTAGCAGGAATATTTTGAGTTTCACATAAAGAAGATCTATGAATGAGATGTCTGCAAGGGGGTATGTACGCTCTTATTGTTCGGCTGTTGAACTCAATATTTGAACTGCTAACCCAGCAGTGTCGTCCCGAAGGGTTTGCAGGGTTTGCATCCCTTAGTGGCCTCAGGCACTCCACAGGGAGTGGATGCCTGAGGCTGGCCAGGGCCAAGGAGTGGTCCTGGGCACACAGAGAGAAAGGGTTTCTATTGGTCTAAAAGCGAGGGCTCCACCGATTATGTAATTATATTCACTTTTGTGGCCTAACGTATTTCACAAGCGAGCGACGCACACAAGCGAGTGACGCAGTCAGAAACACATAGTAAATGCGATAAACTACAACCTTATATGTCCACAACAACGTCCTTGTTTGATTTCATATTTACTCGATAGCTGTTGATAAGAATTTTAAATGCTATATATCAATTTCAAGGCAATCAAA